ATGTTCAGAAATCCTTATTGTCCCCTTGACATTTAATTATCCGGTTTAATTACCTCTTGATGCCAAAGTGGGTTTTTCTGATTTCTCATTCATCTCTGTTCAGTGTCAATTTAAGGAAGGAGAGTGAAAGAAAAAAAACTTTCCCTTTTCACTTTCATTTGCTGCTTCCGAATCTTCTTTGGGAGCGATGTATCTTTTTTAAAATTTAAATTCCAGGATACCTTGGTTGTTGCTTCTTATCCCGGTCAGCCAAAACGTTCACTTCTTAATTTCCTCCTGCACTTTCTTTTCCGGATGAGTGCTTCTTTGAGGTGGCCATTTCTGACCGCCACTTGTTTGCCTTCGGGAAAGGGAGTTTAGCCAGCTGGGGAGGAAAGATGCGGCTTCCCTCGACCCTGCTGGGATCTCCCCCGTCTTTGCCACCTTTACAGGGTGGCTTAGCCCCGAAGCCAGACTGGCTCGGGACACTCCAGTGGCGAGCCCAAGCAGAAACCGCGCACGATCGCGGATTCCTGCCTGCTGCCCTGCAAACCAGAAGTTTTGGTTCTTCTTTTTTGATTGAGTTCTTGTGTTCTTCAATGCGTGCACTTATTCTTCTGTTAGTTTGTCCAATGTATGTGGTGGGACAGGCTGTGCAAGGGATTTCGTATGCTCCTTGGTTTTCTAACTCGATTTTGTCTTTAGGGTTTCTTAGGATGGTGGATATTTTTCTGTTTGTGCAGAATGCTGTTTTAATGTGTTTTTGGAGGATCTTGCTGATTTTGTCTGTAGTGCCTTTTATATATGGGAGGAGGGCTTTGCTGTTCTCTTGTTCTCAGTCTTGGATTTTGGTTGGGGTTTCTTTTTGGATTAGGTGGGTAATCTTCTATCTTTGGAATCCATTGGCTGTTAGTACGTTAGTGAGTGTGTGTAGTTCGGTTTTTAGGTGTTGTTCGTCGGCTAAGCATTTTGTTCTGGAGATGAGTGTCTCGGCTACGGAATTGATCTGTGCTGGGTGGTGGTGTGAGAGTGCGTGTAGATAGCGGTTTGTATGTGTTTTCTTCTGGTAGATGGTGTGTCCTAGGGAGCCATTGGATTTTTTGTATACTAAGACATCTAGGACGGGAAGTTGATTGTTAGCTTCTGTTTCCATGGTGAATTGTATTTTGGGGTATAGGCTGTTGAGGTGTGTGAGGAAGTTGTTCAGTTTTTCTTTCCCGTGTGGCCAGATTATGAAGGTGTCATCTACGTATCTGAACCAGAGTTTGGGTTTGTGATCATATTTTTCTAGAGCTTGTGTTTCAAAGTGTTCCATGTAGAGGTTTGCGATGACAGGTGAGAGGGGTGATCCCATGGGTGCTCCTTCTTCGTGTTTGTATTTTTGCCCATTGTAGGTGAAGTATGTATTGGATAGGCAGTGGTTGGTCAGATCTAGGATGTGCTTTGGGGGGGGGGTTGTATTTGTTTTGAATGGCTGTCAAGCCTTCTTTTATAGGCACCTGAGTGAAGAGGGATATGACATCAAAGCTCACTAGGTCGCTGGGTTGTAAGTTTTGTTTCTTTATGATCTCGATGAACTGGAATGAGTTTCTTATGTGTGAGTTAATGGATTCTGCACAGGGCTGTAGTTGTTTGGCGAGAAATTTGGCTAGGTTTTGTAGAGGTGAGCCTATGGAGCTGACTATTGGTCTAAGTGGGGTTCCTTCTTTGTGTATCTTGGGGAGACCATAAAGCTTAGGGCATCTGGATGATTTCTCTCTGGGTATGATTCTTTGCTGGATTTCTTCGCTGATGGGGGAGGCTTTTATTTTGGATCTGGTGGTTTTTTCTAGGTAGGTGGTGGGGTCTGTGTTTAGGTGTTTGTATGTGTGGTCTTGGAGTAGGTTGGTTAACTTGGTTTGGTAGTCAGATGTGTTCATAACCACTGTCGCGTTGCCCTTGTCTGCTGGTAGGATTATTATGCTGGTGTCTTCTTTCAGGGATCTTCAAACTTGACAGCTTTAAGACTTGTGGACTTCAACTCCCAGAATTCCTGAGTTAACATGACTGGAGGAGGAATTCTGGGAGTTGAAGTCCACAAGTCTTAAAGCCGTCAAGTTTGAAGACCCCTGAATTAAAATAATGTCATAGCCTGTTTTCAGTTTCAGTTTATTAAAAATCTTGCCTCTTTTTTAATGATTAAGTTGTCTAGCATCACAGGGTACATAAAGACAAGTTGTTAAGGTCTATTATAACCTTTCCAATTTTAAGTAGAATACTCATGTAATAAATTCTGATTTTAAATCCACTTTTCAGTGTTCAAGATCTTTGCAGAATAGTTTATTGCTATAAAGTTTAAATGTTGAAACAAATATGTGGCCAACAGCACATCAGGGAATACAAAAATTAAAATAGCAAACATTCCTGCAGATTCACCCTGGCTCTGAGCCTGTTGGAAAATTCAGTTTTAAAAGGTTTTCCAAAAGTTTGCAGGCTGGGACCAATGGATTGGGGTTAGGGGGTGTTGCTGTTATTTTTGAGGACAGAAACAGTGACACTCTTGACACTGCTTGTTGATGTGGAACACTGCGCATTATTCTGCCCAATCTTATAAGCTAGTCAGAAACAATATGAAGTAGAATGTGTTCAATAAAAAGCATTTCAGCCGAATACCAGGTAAATAACAAAGATATAGCAAAGCTATGACATTCATTGGGTTGTCACAGATGCTGACAGTAATTTGCCGATATAGATTTTTCTTTTTAGTTACTAGTATCAGAATACATAGTCACAATTTCAAATCCAGTCATTATGCTTTTACAAAATATTTCACAATGTTTTCCTAATTTATTTGGTGTTAGTCACTGTGTTCCATTTGAAGTCATAAGACATATGACTTACAATGCATTGGCAATGACACTGGTTTCATCATTATATGGATCATAAGCTGAGCTAAAAAGCAGTAGCAAGAAAGAATCTTAACGTACTTTATTGTTACTACACCTTTTGACTGAATTATAAAATAAATGAAAATAAAATGTTTAAGAATAAATCTAAATCATCTTGGATAGAGATGTGGTGCCTTGATATGATTAAGTACGCATTATATATAAAGTGATTTCTTTGCTTGCCTTTCCTTGTTTGTATTCCATTTATCTGTAATATAATATCCCTGTTAATGAGAGAAGAGAAAGAAATTTGTGGTTGCTTATATCCACATCATTTAGTTTCCTCCCCATTTACAATTATTGAATAATTGCTGAAATATCCTAGGCCCCAGATTTGGCTGTCCAATATCAGAATGTGTGTTAATTGGAGATGTTGCTGTTTGTTGGCATAGCTGTTTATTGTGTGGCCTTAATTGGCTCAGATTCCTAAGAAGTGGTGTCTATGCAATTTCTTTCCCGCAATTCTGTTTATTAAAAGAGCTTTAGAATGGCAAACACCAGTAAATGGCAAAAGAAAGGGAGAAATAGACCATAAACTTACACAAAAATCTGTCTAAATTAATTTAAATGGGTTAATCAAACATTTAAAATCTTTTAAACACACTTTTATTATAAAAGGAGAACTATGACCTGCTGAAGTACATGTCTATTCAATCTGCTGTTCAAGTGCTAATTTTATGGTGCTGGTGTTTAAATCCTTATTTTACTTTGTTTAGGCCAAATAGTCTTCCAACAAAGCGGGTTCAGACAAGAGGGCCATTTTATAACATAGCCCAAATTTAAGGTTTAACTCTATAAAGCCGAGCTGATCTATGATTTTGTTGCTCTTATCGCCTGACTAGTATTTTAGACTGTTTTCACTGTTAATAATTTACAATCACCAAAATGTTCCCGAGCTGTTAGGGAGACGATGTTTTGGCAATATTTTTATTAATAAATTACGGACCTTTCCAATTGGAATGGTGTACAGCTTGCACCACGATTGCACTCAAAACCTTGTTTCCACTAAAGAAAAAGCCTGTGGAAAGAAACCCCAAACATAAAGTATTTGGAATTATTTTGGAATAACAGTAGCATTCTGAGTCAGTAATTCTTAAACCTAATTTCTTGTCAAGGTTCCTTTCCATTTTTAAAAATTACAGAGGACCCCCAAAAGAGCTTTTGCTTATATGGGTTATGTTTTCAATGTTTACTTTATTATAAATTAAAATTCACACATTCACTACTACTGGTTAAGATTAGATGAAAGGATTTTGATATGGTTTATTATTTTTCAAAATTGACTGGCAAATTAATTTTGATTTTGGGGACCGCTGAGGGGATTTTGGAAGACTCCCTGGAGTCGTAGGACCACTCTTTAAGAAACACTGTTGTGAGTAGAGGTAGTCCTCGACCTACAAGTTCATTTAGTGACCGTTCAAAGTTACAAGGGCCCTGAAAAAAGTGACTCGTGTTATGACCATTTGTGACCTCTGCAGGGCCCCCCAGGATCATGTGATCAAAATTCAGATGCCTGACAACTGGTTCATTCATAGGACCGTTGCTGCGTCCCAAGCTCACCTTTTGCCACCTTTGGACAAGCAAAGTCAATGGGGAGCCCAGATTCACTTAACTATCCCAGTTACTAACTTATCAACTGTAATGATTTTTTAAAACAGTTTTGTGGCAAGAAACGGGGCAAAGTTCGCTTAACAAATGTCTTGCTTAACCCCAGAAACGTTGGGCTCCATTGTGGTCGTACGTCGAGGACTATCTAATCCTTGAGGAGAGGGAGGGGGGAAAAAACAAAGAAAAAGATCTCCGTTCAGCTTCCAGGCAGTTTAACTTACTAAGAAGCCACCGAATTCCGTTCCTTCTCTCCCGTAAACGCCCTTGAAAGATTGAACCCTAAACGGCGAAAAGTGCGGCCGACAAGAAAGGCTTCCGCCTCGAGGCCCGGGTTGAGCCCCGAGGCCCCCCAACGGAAGGCCTCTCCGCGCTGCTGCTGCTTAGCGCCTCCTAGCGAAGCTCTTTTCGGCGGCGGGGGGCCTCGCTTCTTCCCTCGGTGGTGCCGCCGCCTCCTGGGCGGGCCCTGGATCCGCCTCCAGTTGCCCACTGAAAGGAACATGGTGGCCGCTTCCTCCCTCCTAAGCAGCAGCAGTAACGGCGTCGGCGGCTCCCTAGGTTCTCTTTGAGGGGCCGGGACGCTGCGAGCACGGCGTCAGCAGATCAGCCAGGCCAAGGAGCGTCTCTGCGCTGAGGAAGCCGAGGCAGTCCGGTATTTGTCTGACGCCGAGACGCTGCCACAGGTGCGTCGGTTGACGGAGCTGACAGGAGGAGCCTTTGGCTTCCCGGGTGACTGCCTTCTCCCCCCCGCCCCCCGTCCCCCTCTTTTCCCCCCCTCAGGTTTGGGGTCACCGGCTTCGGCAAGAGCGGGAAAAATGCCCGCTTGTGCAGGCGGGACGGAACTCGAACAAGTACGCACTTGGCCGCCTGTTTCTTCCTTCGTTTCCCCGCCACCCCCCTCCGCCTCGCCTTGTCCTCCCTCCGCCTTGAGCGCTTGGATGCAAGATCACGTTGAGAGAGCGCGAAGGGAGAGTGGGGCTACCCTCAAGGTGTCGGGCAGGGCCGCTGGGAGGAGAAGAGCGGGGCTTTTATTTTTATTATTTTTTGGCAACCGGGCCCGGGGTGGTTTTGGACTCGGAGCGGCCTTTGAAAGCGAGGGGTCAGCCGGTGGCGGCTCCTCCGTGCCGAATGTGGGAGTTGAGATCGGTCCCCTTCTTGCCTCCCGCCTGGCCTTTTTACCTGCTCAGAATTGCCTGGAGTTCACCCGAGGGTTCGTGTTAAGAAGGAGCCCGTGATAATTGTTTTTCTCATCTCCTTCCCTTTGATTATGGATTTGAATTGATGCAACCGTGAAGGGATCAGACAGGGCATGCAAACTTGGGTTGAAACGAGTTTGAATATTGTGGTTCCTTCCACACGTTGGTGGAAATCCAGCAGTTATTCTCCCACGTAGTGTTGTAAACCAGGCTGGGGAGAATCAAAAGGGCAGAGATGCAGGGATTCCGTGTTCGTTGCCTCTGAATCAATCCAGCTAAAATGCGATTTATTTTGGGGGTCGTAGTGTCTTGGGTAGTGATGCTGTGAGTGAAAAGTTGAGTTTATCATGTGAACTCTGCCCCATTGTCCTGTGAGGAAAAATCCTCCATCTGTGTATAAAATACATGTGTTGTGTTTGTGATATATAAGCTGTAAGTTTTGTGCCTGTTTATGTGGAAGTCAGTGCTGTTTTTAACTTACTTAGACTTGCTTCTGGGTAGGTGTGTGAAAAATTGGATTGTTATGAAAAATGTCTTATGTGCTAAATGGTTATGGCAACAGGTAGCCTCTTGATTTTACATAATCTATTCATTACTTTTGCATAGCTTTCAGGCAAGGTGATAGCCTTGCCTGAAGGCTACCATATACCATATATAACTACCATATACTGGACTTTCACATAGTCAACAAACTTCCCAAAATTAGTTTGAGTATAGCTTTATTTTAAACAGACAATCATCTATAGCTTAATCTGAAATGCTCATATAAATCCTGTTTAAAGCTCACTATACACAAGTTTTCTATTTCCTCCTTAATGCTATGTCCTCAGAAGGTCCTGGTTTCCTTAATGCCCAGGAGATGAAGAATTAGTTAACTCTTTACTAGCATTAAAAGATACCAACACCTGGAATTGACTTTAAATTGTTGTCTCTTTTTATCTTATCTGCAGTTCTGACTTCTTTGTTCCTCTTTTTGACTCTTAAGTGATTCATTTGAATTCCACAGTAATAGGATTTTGTGGAAAAAATCTTAAATAATATTTTCTAAGAAACAGAAAAATAAGCCAGTTAGTATGAAATATGATGTATCTGTTGGGTCACCTAATGAACATGTTAACAAATATGATTGAAGTTGCATAAATAGTCCTCAGAAATGTTGCTTTAAGTTTTTCCTTAATGTGTAAAATATCTGGTTGATAGTATTAAGACTTAGTTCAAGTGTCATGCTAATCTACTGTAGATATATACATACTGCACTTGAATGGATTAATACAATTTGCTAGACAAAACTGGCAAATTGTATTTTGACTTAGAGTGATACATGAATTGAGCTATAGTTTGCTTACTGATCCCTTTGATCCAAGCTGATTATATTGAGTCTATTTATTTTCAGTATATTTTTGATGATGGGGTGTTAGATAACAAGGGAATGAAGATGGTTTTAAGCATGCTTTGAATTGCAATAAAATTGTTGCCTGTTTTTTCCATAATGCTTTATATTTTCGATGAAAATGCTTACTTTTAGCTAAATCTGCCTTTTTCTTCTATTTGTAACTTTCAAATAATTTTTATAGAGTCTGTTGCCTTTGTTGTTGAAAGAAACCAATCATAAACATTATATAGAAAAAATAGTTTGGTAGGTGTTCAGTTGTTGTGCATAGATGTAAGTTGTTATTTTAAATACCCAAGATTTTTTTTCAAGCTAATTCTATTCCACTGATATATTGCTGGATATGTTAATAATGATTTATAAGTTGTATTTTTCTAAGCTTTAATATCAGGGCAGTGCATATACTGAATTTTGTTACTGAATAGTCTTTCTGTGGTTGTTCCTGGTCTACCAAATATTACTCAAGACGAGCTGTAAAAATGTTTCTCACAACTACATTTTAAAGGAAATATAAAGCAAGGTTACATCAGGGGTAAGCAATGGAAAGCCAAAAGTAAACAGTTATTTTTTTTTATGATCATACATTAAAAAAAATCAGATTGCGGCATTCTTATATGGTATCTCACAGGACTCAAGCTAAACCTCTTGCAAAATCTTGGGAGCAAAGGATTATAAAGATTGGCTCAGTCTTCCATCCTTCCGAGGTGGATAAAATGAGGGCCCAGATTGTTGGGGGCAATATGCTGACTCTGTATACCACTTAGAGAGGGCTGGAAAGCACTGTGAAGCGGTATATGTCTAAGTGCTATTGCTATAAAATCTAACAATAATACATTACTTGAAATAATTTAAGAATTCAAATTTTCTTCAATAATTGCATTGTATTCTTTTTAAGATTTCTTTGGTTGGCTTATGAGTTGCCATTAAAATACAAGGAAAGACATAATAAAGATGTAGTTTAAGAATATAATTGAAGTTTGTTATTACAAAATACAGAGTTGATCGTGCACAATAATGCATATAACAATGGGGTTTGTTCCCAGTGATCACATCAGCTCTTTATTTTGTGCAATTATATATATTTCATCCTATAGAAAGAGGGTTGCAGACCATATCTCCTTTTCAGTATAATAAGCATACAATTAATGACAACTCTTTCTCCCTAGCTATCCTCTGATGTCAACAGTTAGGGAAAAGCACTTAGAGAAACTCTGTAGTATCGTTATCTATTAAAACCAGACAGCCAATGTGAGACAATAGTCAATGTATTAGAATAGGAATGGAAAAGCCCACTTTTGCTTCATCTTCAGTCTTGAAAAATCCCTGAATGACCTTGGGGCAGTCACTGTCTTTTAAGATAATTGTTGTGAGAAACAATAAGAGGAGAAAACAGTATGCTTACTGGCTGGATTCTTGCATGAAAGACAAGATACACTTGTAATAAGCAAGCTAGTAAATATTCATTTCTTTCACCAATTGGATTGGTTATAAAGTAAAAAAAGAATTGCTACCACCATATAATTCGTTACTGAATTTCTCCGTGACTCCACCTGATCTGTGGAATTCCATTCCCCAAGATCTGTAGGGCCCCAGTTCTGCTCTCTTCCAAGAGTACTTTAGAGACCTAGCTCTCCCACAAGCACTGGGCTGGGATGTTATGTGAAATAGGAGGAAGGTGGGTTGATAAATTCACTGCCTTGCCATTCAAAGATTTGTAAAAATAATAAAGCCAGGGAATAAATAAATACATAAATAGCCTACCACTGAGATGGTTTAATTATTATGTTTGGCAACACCATTGTTACCATCTTTTAATTGACTATATGGTTTATTTTTAACTTGCTGTCAACCGCCAAAAGCTATAAGTGTAAATGGGTGATTTTGTAATTGGCATCATAAATATAAATTCAAAAATACTATTAATCTATTAATAAGAGTTATGCTGGTGAATTCCTGATGGTAAGGACCTATATTTTTATCTTCTTTCTTTCTTTCTTTCTTTCTTTCTTTCTTTCTTTCTTTCTTTC